TTTAATTATAGTCCGGTCAGGCACTCATAACAAATGTTAATGTATCCAATTGAATGGTCAATTAAACAACACGAAAAAGTAAATTTAACAACAATTAACTTTAATCAATAAAATGACTATTCATAGAGACATACTGTGCCCACTATACTGTATATACCGGTATAACAAAGTTATGATAAGACTAAGCTATTGACTACAATGTCTTTTATTGATAGTATAGTAGTTAAGGGTTAAATAAACTAAACAAAAATAGGTTTTAGTGGCAAAAATAAATGTGTAATTTAATAGTTTGAGGGCATTATTATATAATATACCACATTTATCTAATTTAATATCCTAATATACACTTTTTTGGGGATTAGTATAAAAGTTAAAGTGATTTTTATGTTTCAATTGGCAATTAAAATATTTATTGGTTTCAATTTATTTAAATTTTATTTTAATATATACCAATATAATGTATTTTACTATATTAAATATTATCTAATTATTATTATTATTTAAATGCAAAATTTCTTAATAAAAAAAACATTACCTATACTTGACTGTTAAAGTTTGCAAAAACACAAAACTTTGAAAGAAAAACATACTTAAAATATTTAATAAAAACCATACTTACAAAGTATAAAGTAAAGCATATGCGTTACATATATATTACCTAACATACATAAGTAATGTCGTTATTATTATACATAACGTAACGTTATTTTTGGATGGCACAAAGCATTGAAAAAAATTATTTTCATTTAAAAGTTTAAAAATAGATAGTTAAATTTTAATTATGTTGTTTTAAATTATTATTTTTCTTTATCAATAATAAATTATAAACAATTGTTTACGAGATATCAGATCAATATTTGAAAATGAAACTTTTTTATTCAATAAAATCATTGATATCGCCCGCTGAAAATTGCAATGATGCTTATCATGAAGCTATTGTATAGTAAAATTTTTAAAAATTGATTAAAATTTTCAAAAGTGCTAATTATTACTTAGAATACAAGTTATATTCAAAGGTCTTAAAACAAAATTCTGACATATTTAGTTTTTAAAATCCAAAACTACTTAGTCAACCTAATATTGATAATTTTATGTTATTTTAATACACTAAAATAAATGTCATTCTATTTGCCGTTTAAAAATAATACTAGTTTTTGTACTTTTGAAACGACATTACTTATGTATGTTAGGTAATATATAATATTTATTAAAATATTTGAAATTTTTTTATTAATATTTTGTCTCAATTTAAATATCAAAATCTAACTAATTAGAAAAAAATTATAATAAAATTACTAATTATAAAAGTAATGCTAAATTATTATATATCTTAATGAAAACTATTTTATACTTTATTTCAAGAGAAATGCATTAGAAGATAATCTTTATAAAAATAAAGTAACAATTAATAACACTTTTATAATAAAAACATTTCAGATTTTATCTTAAAAATTAGCCGGATACGATAATACATAAATAAATAAAAACATTTAATCATTTTAAATATTTACTTAGTTTAGTTAATGTATATAAAATTATTAATAATAATAATAATATTAAATAGTATACTAATTTAGTAGAATATTTATTGACGACATTTTTAGTGTTTTATATTAATAATATTTGCATAAATATTTATAATACATGAATAAGATATACTGTATTATATAAAATTTATGTTCAAATATAGTGTACATTATTTGTTTAAGTTTAAAAATAATTTAGATTTTTATTATCTTAATCACGACATACTATAAAACACTGATTTCAAATTTTTATTTAATTTATAATTCAATGTATCTTTAATTATCACTGAAATAGTGTTTGCACTATAATATTAATTGTCAAAATATTTCACTTAAACTGTAAATTATTTTATTGATAGATTAAATTTCTATTACTATAGTATTTTCTTTATTAGTAATAAATTATTACTACTAATAATTTTTATGTTATTTAAGACATATTTCTTGATAAATCTTTTTTTTTATATGAATTAGTAACTTATAAATGAGTTAAAGTTATCTTATTTTTTCTTGTAAATTATAAATCATAATCTATAACATTACGATATTTATTTGATAAAAATATTTTGTAAAAATGATTTTTTTAAAAAAAGTGTAATTAGGAAAATTGGAAAATTTTTATAGTTAATGGGGTTTAATAATAATCATTTGTAAAAGTTTGAATCAATTTTGAATATATTTTTTATTTTGTTGATATCATTACATAAACAACAAGCATGTAGTGGTTGGCAGCACTTGGATATCATCATAAAACTTGTTATGAATGACTGATTTATTATTTTTACAATGTATTGTATATTATACTGTATTATTCAACTTTATTTGTTTTGCAACAGGCATTTATAAACTATGTATTTTTTTGGTTGTATTATTATTATTATTATTATCATTATTCTATCATTATTATTGTATTATAAATATTATGAATGATGTTTTTGAAGACATGTTATTCATTTAACTCGAATCCATACTTCATTCATATATATATATAATATTGTATTTATAATTTATATTTATATACAAATATAAATATATTAAATATAATGTATATATTGATTATATTTTTACTATTATATATTATAAATATAAATTCTAATAATGATTCTCATTCAATGTCTCATTACTTTATATCAGAATAATAATAATTATTATTATTATATTATTTGTAGGAAAATAACATAATAAGAATATTCTGTATGCAAACAAACTAATTTTGCTCTAATTTATAATTTAATATAAATTGAAAAAATAATAATTTATATTTAATTTTGTTTATCTTTTTTTCTTAGATATTAATGGGATTAAAATGTAATTCAATCATCAATGAAACATTGTTAGCTTTTCCAATACAATTGTTTGCCACAAATTATTAATAATAAAAAAATTGTTTTAAAAAATGGTGATAAACTTAAATAAATGTGATTCAAGTATTTAACCAAAAAAAAGTAAATAATATATAAATAAATATATGAAGCAAAACATATACTACTACTACTACTTATACTATACTACTATAATAATTGCTTATTGCAATAATAATTGTGTAATATTTACAACCATAAAAAAGATATAGTGTAAGTATATATGTTTTTTTGAAAAAGACATTTTCACACATTGTTTTTATATATCTATAGTATTTGATATTTTATAATATTGTATTTTACAAATATAAACTTGAGAGAACAACAACAATAATACTACAGTAATAATAATAATAATAATAATAATAATAATAATAATAATAATAATAATAATAATAATAATGTTTGTATGAATGCGTACAGCATTTATAAAGTATGAATTTTTATAACAATACTAAAGTAGATAACAATTGAAAAATATATTGTAATAACTGTCAAATTCAATGGATAGGTTTAGTTGAAGAAATTTTTATGTATATTTATGTTGTGTCGAAAAGTTCAGAAAAATTTATAATTTTCAAAAAAATATTTTTTATTTAAAGAGTTTGTTTATACTCTAGAATCTAGATTTATTATAAGTAAACAAACAATGTTTGATAAATGGATATTATTAAACCAAAAAAGACTACAAAATTTTTTAAATAAATATAATTATTTATAAAATATATAATTAATAGAAATTAAAAATTACATTAAAAACAAACAAAATAAATATAGAAATATTTAATTTTATTAGAATTTAAGTTATTGTAAAACTTGATATTTATGAATACAATATTTTATTTTTAGTCAAATATAAATTTTTATTTAATTGACTCAATTTAATATTTACTGTTTTATATTATTTAGGGTTATTATTATTATGTATATTTAGGTTTAATAATCAATATTTTCCATTACCTCGAGTTTTAAAAATAGCATTTAAAGTTTTATATATCAAACAATAAAATAATTATCTTTAAGGTAGAGTAGTATGAAACCCACTTTTATATTATTATCTTATATATCATTTATTTATTATAATATAATTTAAATATTAATTATAAATTTTAGTTGTTTTCTAATTATATAATTTTATTTTCAGAGTGTAACTACTATATAGTAAAATAATTTAATATCAAATATGCAATTAAACTACAAATTAACTCTACAGAAATTATTTTGTTATTATTATTATTTTAGAAAATATTCTATAGCTATTTTAACAATAAGATATATTTTATTTTTTTAGTATTTATTTTTTACTATTTCAGATAATATCAATATTTGTGTTCAAAATATTTAAAATTTAATGTGTAATGCATTTTTCAAATGGTGTCTTCAAAACGTAAAGTATGTAACACATAAAAGATACTTTAGATATTATTTTATAAATTGTTAATAAATAATTTTTTAGATTTATACTGTAGTATATACAGTATATAATATAAATAATTTACTTTATCTTTAAATTGGTTTGAATTTTTAAAAGCTCTTTTAATTTTCAGATATATATATATTTTAAAGTCGGTTTAATTTTATATTTTATGACTTATAACATGAAATTTTAATAAACATTAGATGAATTTTATTTAGTTTATGTTTATCATATATGATTTTATTGGTTTTATGTTTTGTTTTATTATATATAAATATATATATGAAATCTATTACTTTATATCAAATATAAATATAAAAAATATATTGTGTGTACTTAAAGCTATGTAACATAAGTACTTTCTTATAATATTGAATTCATATAAATTTTATGCATTTATTTATACAAGTTGTATCATATATAGTTACATTTGCATAAATTATTATTTATATATATTATAAACTATATAAAATTTATATACATTTATTTTTATTTAATACAGAATTGGCATCAATAACACGTATACATAAAAAAATATATATTTTACGACATTAAGTCATCTATGGTTTAGTGAATATAACACACATATAATTTATATAAACTAAAACTAAATATTATATTATTATACTGAACGGCAAATAATAATAATAATAATACTGAAAAACAAACTATTTATGCCATACATTGTCCTAATGAAAGCAAATGGAGTCGGCATTGGATTCATTGGTTAATAATAGCAAAAACCAATCGCTGAATCCGACTCCAGTCGGTGGTGGTGTCGGTGCCGCCAATGTTGGTGACGATTGCGGCAGTATATCGTCAAAGTTTAACGACGCCACTGTCATAGTGTCGGTAGTCATACTCGGACTCATCAATGTTATCGTTATTGCCGGCAATATACTAGTCATTGTCAGTGTGTTTGTGTCGGCAAAACTTCGAACAGTTACCAACTTTTTTATCGGTATTTATAAGTGATATATATATATATATAATTGATTTTTCTATATTGCCATTCAATTTAAATAATATAATATAAATTCTTATATATTCTTTAAAAACTCATTTTTCAATTTATAGTATCACTAGCAGTGGCCGATCTTTTAGTAGGCATTGCTGTTATACCGTACTCACTATCCTTAGAGGTTAGTAATAGTAGTTTTCATATTATAGATCTATTACGATAAATATCAATATACTGTATATTATACATACATATATATAAAGAATATATATATATATGTCAAGTAAATCATTTTAAATTAATAGTATTGACAGTATTCTTATTACGGGAAGTTATAAAAAATATATATATATAATTTAATATATTTGCCTATATATAGAGTATATTTATATTATATTTATTTATTTATATTTATGTCAATTGTATGTATACATTATGTATAATATATAATATAATAAACTATTGACAGTATATGAAAATAATTACTGTAATACATACTTAATTTATAGGTCATTCATTTGGATAATTAGAAAATAAGATCTAATTTAATTGATATAACAATAGAGTGTATACAAATATAATGTATATATAATAGTACTGTAGTAGTATTAGTTGTGTGTATGTATGTATGTGTGTGTGTGTGTGTGTGTGTAATGCACAGTAAATATTGTGGTATTGATTTTAAGGCAAACATCTATTTTTTCATTGTTAAACTATTGTCAAATAAAATGCAATAATGATAGGACTGAAAATAATAATAATAGACAAATAAATAAATATATATATATATAAATTCAATTGAAACAAATAAAATTAAATGAGTATATTATTAATTCAATAGATATACTGTATATGTAATGTTATACACAAAAAAAGTTATAAAAATAATTTATTATTAATCTTACTGAAGCTTTGATTGAATTTAATATTTACTTAAAATATTAGACAAATATCTTACTTGAGATTGTTTTCTTTATATATATGTATAAATTATAGATTAAATATATCTGTATATAACTTTAATATGAAAGTACTAGACATTATAGAGTATATTATATAAATATAAATATATATTATATTTATATAAGTATAATATTATCTAATACAACACTATAATAGATAAGTTTTAATTTAATTAATTAAACGTCATATCTATAATTTATTTATAATATGTAAATATTTATCATATACAAAATTTTATCATAGATTAAAATATATTAGATTTTAAAAATCTGTAGACACTGTATAAATCAAATCTCAAAATAAATTATTTACTGAAATCTTACCAAAAAAAAACTAACATATTGTTCATTAATGTCTAATGTTTTTTTTTGTAATTTAAGTAATTGGGAAAAATATGAAAAAAACTAATTTGCATATACTAATAATATAGATATTATTTACTATTTGTATGTTTGTTATTATTTATGTAAATCTTTATTTAATAATTTGTATGTATATATAAATTTATATCAAACATTTTTTTTATCATACAAAATAATTTAATGTTTTTATCTTTTATTGAAAATTGTTTTATAATTTTGTGTAAAAGCTTTTTTATACATTAATATGATATTACAAAATAGATTTGTTTGAAACTTCAAGCATTATATGAAATATATATATTTATATAAATTTATATTATTTTTTAAAAATGTGTTCAAATATATATTATATTTTGTTTGATGCCATTATATTTGCATATTTTATTTTTCTTTACAAATAATAAATTTCCCATTTATTTCAAATAATATATACTACTACTATAAAATAAAATATATGACAATAAACTATATCACAACCTATCATAAAAAAGTGGTCAACATTTTTGGTGTTGTTGTATACAATAATAACTATACAATTGCATCTCTAAACGCATACACCAATAATTTTCAAAGCAATTGATTGTAAGTTTTCTTTTGGTTTATCAATTTTTCAGTTAAATAAAAAACAATTTATATATATATATATATATATATATATATATATATATATATATATGCTGTATATAGAAAAGAGTTATATTTTTAGTTTCTTTATATTTCAAATACTAATATTTTTTTGTTGTTGAATTAAATTTACTGCAAACACATAGACACACTAGAGTTGATAATAAAAAAACATAAATTTCTAGAATGTTTCTAAAAGAAATTTTTATATCAATGGGATCCCCATATTATTTTCGTTTTTTTGTATATTTGTTATACTAAAAAATATATTACTATTTTAATTAATATTTAATATAAAAAATAATTCATTTAGTTAAATTTAACTAATAATATAATTAAATTATTTAAAAAAATTATACAGAAATTATAAGTATAATTTTATAAGTATATTAATAATATATATATATATATATATATATATATATATATATATATATATATGGATCCAATTTGTTTAGCAGTGTAGAGTATAATTAATGTTTTATTGTATATTATTTATGATTAATACAATATTACAATAGATATAGATATGTGGATCCCATAGTACTGTATAATAATAAAGAAAAGTTTTTATAGAAATTTATTTCTGAGAAACTTTCTAGAAATTTTCTATGGGGAATATTTATTAGAAATTTCTATTTGCCCATCTCTAAGACACACATATATACAGTATATATATATATAAAATGATGTTCACAACAATTGAAAATTATGGCCGTATGAGCAAAATATAGATAACTTATTATATAGTTTTACTTATTTTTTCTCCTTTTTTTTTGCTGAAATTTTGTCAATCGATTTATTGGTTCTCATTTTTGTATTTTATTTTTCTCTATACTCTCTCTCTCTCTCTCTCTCTCTCTCTCTCTCTCTCTCTCTCTCTCTCTCTCTCTCTCTCTCTCTTTCTCTCCACTCTTTACTTTTAGGATTAAAGAGATTGTGATATTCAGCAGTTTTTATTTGTGTATGCATTTACTGTATATTGTTGTTGTTGTATATGATATGAAAACAATTGAATTGATATCCATTTAGTTTATTATTTTTTATGGGCATACATAATACTGTACATAACAGACAATTTATACAAAGTTTATATAAATACTGTTTGTATTTTAAGCATACGAAAGCATATATAATTTATTATATTATTTATAATTGAATTGAATTGATTGCTGTAGACATATTTCTGTATTATTATTTGCTTATTAATCTCATTTATCTTTAGTATTATTATTTTTGTTATAACAAAAACAAGAATAACAATATCAATAAAAAAAATTATAAAAAAACTTATTTTAAATACATTAATATTTATATGCAATACAACAATTATATTGAAAAACTTTTAATTAGTTTTTATATTGCATTATAACTATTATAGTATAATAAATAATATTACAAATAGAAATTAAAATTACATTAAGCAAATTGTGTTGTTATTATAATAAGATAATACTATAAAATATATAATTAAACAAAACAAAAACAAAATCCTATATTAATATAAATGTATTTAAATTTATATACGTTAACTGTAAAATATAATATTAAATTTTGATATATTTTTAATAAAATTTACTGATAATTTATAAAATCAAAATTCTAGTAAAGTAAAGTTATTTATTATTTAATCACTATATTAGCTGAAAATATTTGTTCATATTTTATTTTTTAAAACAAATATTTATTTTATTTGCTATTAAGTTATATAAGCTTTTTAAATTATATCTCATGATATTAATATATTCATTAAATTTCATTGTTACAAAGTTTTCATAAAATACAAATATTTTAAACTTTTATTAGTATTTTGCAACAAATTTTATTTTATTTTTTTAGAAAACGTATCACGTTTTTATGGATTTATTTTTTTCACATTTTGCTTTATAAGTCAAATAGCATTTTCCTTTTTTAAATATTAAACAATATATATATATATAGTATATTGTTGTTATAAAAAACTAGTATATATATAGATAGATATATAATTTTGTTGAATAATAATCATAACAATAGATTTTGTTTGCGTTGATAAAAGTATGCATAAAATATTTTGACAACAAAATCAAATTCTTTAATACATTTTAAGAGATGAAAAAAATAAATAAATATAAGATTTCTTATTTTAAAATTCTGTGTCTAATAATATTAATACCAAAAAGTTTTTTTTCAATATTTACAATGAAACTGACATAAATATGAAATAAATTTGAATGGATATAATATGTCTATTAAATCAAATAAAAAATATATAATAAAAGTAATAATACTTGAATGACAAAATAACCATAATAAACAAAATATAATATTCAAATTTGATAAGTATATTGAAATAATTTTCAATAGATAATAGAGTATTTAAATAACAAAAAAAAATAAATTGTTTTAAATAATATGTCGCTAATTGTTTAGCTGTATAATAGTTGTCATTTTAAAACAATTTATTTTTTGCTTAAATATTTTGGATTTAGACATAAGATCAGCTGTTAAATGGTTAGTCTAACTCTCAAAAAAGTAATTATATAAACGGATAAATATATAACAAAAAAAAAAATCAAAGACACAGTATATACTTTATAAATACAGTAATGTATAGCACAGTTAGCATAAAGATCTCCTGTGGATATCAACTATTTTTTGTACCCAAAAAAACTTTTGTGTGTATGTTATATATGTTGTCTTTGATTTCATTGTTAATATTTTGTTTTTGTTTGCCATCACACACTTGACATTACATGAAAATATACAGATGATATTCAATACTTACTCTATTGACACGATTGTACTGTACTACTACTGTATAAAGTATTTAATCGCACTGGTAGTTTTCTATTTAATAATAATAACTATGGTTTATATATATATAAAGAATATACATGTATGATACTTATATACAGTATGTTTTTATATGATGTCCAATACCAATGAGATATCAAGTGTTTTAAGGGTCTCATTAAATGAGTAACAACACACTGGTCTACTAAATATAATAGCTATGTGTGTGTGTGTGTGTGTGTGTGTGTGTATGTGTGGGTTAGTGTGTAAGTGTATGTTTCTAATATTATTGTATGGACATAAACTTATTGCTATACTACCACTAACTTACTTTATTGCTGCCTATAAATGCTATACTATTATATCATATTATAGTTGTTTGACAATCAGTTCATAATATCAACTATTTTTCTCCCCTTTATTTTCGATGTCTTTCCTCTCTCTCTCTCTCTCTCTCTTTCTGTTTTTTATCTACTGTTCCCCTCCACTCTTCCACATCTTCCACACATCCATTCATAGCCATTATGAATGAAACCAACCATTAATTATATAGACTTAAATGAATGTTACGGTTTTCTCTCTTTCTCTCTATACTAACGATTTTGACAAAACTTTTTTTGTTATCATTTTGTTTTCAGATTCTTGATGTTTGGATTTTCGGTGAACTCTGGTGTCAGGGCTGGTATGATATTGATTTTGTTTGTGTGTTGTGTATGTGTGTGTGAACACACACTTTACATGTTGTTGTCTAATGATATCTATTTTATATATATATATATATATATATATATATATATATATATATTATCATCCAACAGGTTAGTAACTGACGTATGGTTGTGCACAGCCAGCAGTAAGTGTTTTGATTCTCATTAGCGAAAAAAACTATACATTTATTTAAACATTTTTCTAACTCCCACTTAAACATATATACAATGTATATACTATGCATACAACTAACTAACCGATTACAGTATGTTTTTTAAAAAAAATAATACTAACCAATGATTTGGTTTTAAATTTCAGTCCTAAATTTATGTGCCATTTCTATTGACCGATATTTGGCGGTCACCCGACCAGTTCGGTACCGAAGTATGATGACAAGCAAAAGAGCTAAGATAGTGATAGCCTGTGTATGGGTCGTGTCTTTTATTATTTGCTTTCCTCCGGTAAGTCTCCTATATTTCATCGATTTTATTATTAGATGATAATAATAATAATAATAATTAAATATAAATTAAATTATAAACATTTATTTTTTTTTGTTAATCATTTGGGAACAACCTATAGCTGGTCGGTTGGAATGATAGTAATACATCATTCCTTCAGCTAAGTAAACCCGACAACACCAACAATAATAATAATAATAATAATCCCGGTATTCATTTACCAACTGTTGTAACCCAAACATATGTAAACACATTTGACAAACCACTGTTAACAACGACAACCACCGCCACCGTCACCGCTGCCGCCATCACAACCTATTCATCAGATTTTGTGTCCAACAGTTTTCATCAGCATTTAGATCTAATGAACACGTCTTCCATTATCACAACAACACCAACAACAACAACAACAACATCCACTTCAACAATCACTTCTCGGTCAATGTCCAACATTACAAACAATCATGACATCAATGCCAACACAAATCACATCAACAGTTTAGCAGACATTTTAAACTATACGTCCCAACAGACGCCTCACAGTTCACGGGACTGTTCGCCTTCACGAATAAAGTGCGAAATTTTCCAAAACAAGGGTTATGTCATATACTCGGCTTTGGGATCATTTTATATACCAATGTTTGTGATGGCATTCTTCTATTGGCGCATATATTTAGTGGCCAGTAGGACGTCCCGTGCGCTCAGCAGAGGCTATAAGACGACCAAATGTAACGGTTCTCATGACGAACGACTCACACTTCGGATACATAGGGGTTACGGTGAAGACGTCCAAAGTGGCGGCCAAAACACTTATTTGTCGACACAAAACGAGACCAATACATTAAACACATCATTTTCGGGATCCAGATCCCGATCATCTAATCTTCGGCTAAGTAGTCATAATAATGATAACACCGACCAATCGGTGATGACAGCCATGAGAAGTGGCAAAAAAGGTGCTCAAAGTAAAGACTTTGGTCCAGTGATTACAGTGACCAGCAATGCCAACATCAACAACAATACTGGTGCCGGTGGTAGCGGCGGTGGAGGCAAAAAACATATGCCAATAACATTGTATCGGTCGTCCAAATTAACGGCCAGCCTTTCGCCAAATAATTATGAACAAAACGGCCAAAACAGGCGAATGTCTCCAAGCAATCAGTCGACTCTATCGCTTCCGTCGTCAAGCAGTCCGTGCTCTTCACGTGAGGGCAGTGCCCGAAGCGGCAAATTAGTGATTAATAGGTTTAGCAAAAGGACGTCCAAATATCAGGCCAAACGATTTCACGCCGAAACAAAAGCGGCCAAAACTGTCGGCATAATTGTCGGCGGATTTATACTCTGTTGGTATGTATTTGTGAATATATTTCCAAAATGAATATATCATTACATTAATGATTCTGTAACTAACATATCGTTACAGTATTAGTACTTTACTTATAATATACTGTATATACTGTACATCTCTATTGTTAACTTGAATACTAACACACATTATTATCATTATTATAATAATAATTGCTATCATTATTTTTACTAATATATTGTTTGATCTCTCTTTTTATTTTTGTATATTTATATATATATATATAGGTTACCATTTTTTACTGTATATTTAGCAAGGGCATTTTGTATGGATGAAGATTGTATACCCAATCTATTGTTATCCATATTTATTTGGTTGGGTTATTGTAATTCAATGATCAATCCATGTAAGTCATTATTACAATTTAATATTAATAATAATAATATCATAAATATTGTATATATTATATAATTTATTGTGAATTTTACTATCGTTTCTTTGCGTTACTATTATTAAATTTGTTTGTTGTAAAAAATATTTATAAATTTTTCTCTTATTTAATTTAAGTTCAATGATTTGTAAGATTTTGTTTGCCATGTTTTCCAATATATGGTAATATGTTTTGTTTATGTGGTTTAGTACTTAAATAAAATACAAAATATATTTATACATTTATTTAAATTTGAAAATTTATAAAATATAAGATTGTAATGTAATTTTTTTAAATTTGAATTAATTTACATAGCGTTTAATATAAGGAAATTATAGGAAATTCAATTTTTAATAATAGTATTAATTTATATATATATATATTAATGATATAGACATCTTAAAAATTCATAGCAAATAATATTTTGTCAAAATTAATATTTCATTTTTTAAAATTTAATTTTATTAAATATATATATCACATATAAATTTAATTTATATTTTCTATAAAGACAGTAGTTTAAAATAGGGGGTGGGTTTAGAGGGGGGAGAAATGACAATTTTTAACCTAACAATTCAGATTGAATTGTATGTTAATATCAATTGATTTTTGTTTTGTTTTGTTTTTTATGTTCACAATTTTATTTTATTTATTTATTTTCTGTATATTTTTGTAGGCATTTATGGATTGTTTAGTAAAGATTTTCGACGAGCCTTTAGGAACATTATATGCAGATGTAAATTCAGGGAAGAAACTGTTAGTTCATTGATACGACAGATCCATATGCCAACCTTTTTTGAGGACATGCCTGAAGACATGGTTAAACCTGATTCACAGGAAGACTAGGACTGTGAGGAATATATTGAGATATATATATATATAAAACATTTGGTGTCAGACACTCATTGACTTAAAGACAATTACTTAACAAATAAACAAAAAACAACCATAACTTCTAATATGATGTGGTTTTTTCAAAAAGCTCTGTCATATTAATAACACACAATCTCTCTCTCTCTCTCTCTCTCTCTCTCTCTCTCTCTCTCTCTCTCTCTCTCTCTCTCTCTCTCTCTCTCTCTCTCTCTCTCTCTGTTCAGTTCAGTAACTGCTGCTTGTAATGCCAATTGTGTAACCAATGATATAGATGATGACTTGCCATTCAATAAGGGCTGTATTATACGATAAATTTATAGTATTTTTATATATATATATATAACTTATTATATGATATATTTAGACAACTGTGCGTTTTGGTCATTGCATTAGCCTCTAAGTTATAGCCGATATGGGGAAAGAGTGAGTGAGTGAAGAGCGACTGATAGCCCAAGTTTTCCCCAGTAATGATCACTTGGTTTGAATGCAAAATAAAACTAAAATACATTACAAAAGATTGAGAGATTTTTTTTTCATTATATATACTATATATATAAAAGACATGGCTTTAAATTTGATCTCAAGATTTATTTCAACAACAAAAATAAGAGAAGAGAAGATCTAATTTATAATTGAGAAGAAAAAGAAAAAAATACTTGAAATTTATATACTATTTATTTATTTTTTTTGTTAAAATAAAAATCTTTAAAAAGAGTATATTGTATTGAGAGTGAGTGAGTGATGAGAGAGAGAGAGAGAGAGAGAGAGAGAGAGAGAGAGAGAGAGAGACCAGTGACCAATAATGCACAGAAACCATCATTTGGATGGCTAGACAACAATAACATAACACACATCTAACGGTAACTGTTCAACATTTTAGGACTGTGTTGGAGAAAAACCGTATGATATGTCACACAATAGACTTGTATGTCGTGACAAAAATACCGATTTTATAAATTTGCCCGATAATAATAATAATAATAATAATAATATATTATTATATATATATATGTAATGCCCGCACCAAAGCCGTCTCAATCTCATATATTAAAATATATATATATATACACAACTGTCCCCTCAGTCATCACTGTTATTATATACTGTATATATAAATATTTATTTATATCTATTCAATAAAATCCATCTCTAATTGTTGTTTAAAACGACGGGTATTACTATTGATAGTTATAATAAATTTAATATAATTAAGAATATAATATTCTGACCAAAGTTGCCTCACTGTGTGATTGAACATAGATGTCATATACTGTATGTACAGTATGTATGTATATATGTCTGTTAAATATTGGACTATCTGTCCACTATTACGACTACTACTGCTACACAACAACAACTACTACTACTACTACTACTGTATGATACAAATAAAAATTAATTTAAATCATACTTATATTGTTTAAATAGCGTTTAAACTACCATTACTTACCCCACCACACGAACTCAACTTATCAGCTCAATTCACAATACAAACAAAAACACAACCATACCATACCATACCATACCATACCATACCATACCATACCATACCATACCATACCATACCATACCATACCATACCATACCATACTAAACAGTCCATACCATACCAAACCATACCATTTGACTTTAACTCCCTTTTTTCCAAATGATCTTTTGCTCTGTCATTATATTTCATATTAATCACTATTTATAGCACAATCATCGCAATTTCACTCTCGATTAAATGTAATAAATATATAACTGTTGACCATTTAGTTGACTATAATTTGTAACGATATTGTAAAGTATTGTAAAAATAAATAATTTTAAGCTGTAAAAAATAAATAAATAAAAGTAATTTTTATAAATTATTAATATGCGTTCAATTATTTTTTTGTATCTATTATTTTTTTGCAATTGTTTGATAATCTTGAACTATAATTACTGAAAATTGTATTTGACGTGTATATTGTCAGGAAAACTATTTGTTATTTACAAATAAAAATATCAATAGTTTATTATTTAGGGAAAAACCTTGACTTTGCTTTACTAATGTAATTAATTTAATAAATTATATTACATTTGATAAAACAAAGATCTATATATTGTGTTAACAAAATAAACTAATTTTGAATTCACAAAACACTATGAATACATACACATAATTATATATTTATATATCATATACTGTATATATATATATGTTTGTTTGTGTGTGTGTGTGTGTGTGTGTGTGTGTGTGTGTGTGTGTGTGTGTGTGTGTGTGTGTTTGTTTGTTTGTCTAATATACTGTAGAATAATCAATAAAAATAATTTTCTTTTATTTATTTGCCATTTGATTTAACCAACAAAATTTAGTGAATCTTAGTTTTGCAGCTAATTATATCAATAAATTCAATTTATATCAATATTTATTGTTTATGATTTTTTCAAATTTGGTTTTATTATTTATATAAATAAAAGATATTTAATTTAATCGTAATAAATAAATAATTTAAGTAAATAATATTTATTTATAGTATATACAGATATATTTATATAATATATTGTAAAATTAGATGATAAAAATATTTTTGTTATAAATATATAACTAATGTGTCAAATTGTAAGTAATAATAATAATAAAAAAATTTAAAATCGTTTTTTAAATTTACAAACGAACTGAAGAGATAAGAGATGAGGTAAACATATATTATTTTGACAAATAATATATAAAGAAAATAATATATTGATCTCAAAGTATATACAATATATCAGTATATATTTGTGGATTGAATGTATTTTTTATATATTGATTTATATTGTATTCGTATAACATATAACTTATATACTGTATATATATTTTATGTTTATAATAGACAAAAATGTTTTGCTTTTTTTTTGGAAATTATATTCGCGTTTTTTAATATATTGTAGTTTTCATATACACTATAATAAGATTTTGACTTTCAAGTCAAATATCAAGTTGTTGTTATTGTTGGTGATGTTGGTTATTAGTTAGTGTATGTGTGTATGTGTTTGCCATCAATAGCTAATCACTTCAAAATATTGTTAAACTTTGTGTATACAATATACAGTGTATACAATATATTGCAGTGTAATAATTTATATTTTATTTTTTTTAAAGTTAATAAAAATATTTATATAAAATTATTTATTTATTTTTTTTACTTTATACTATAGTATTTTAAACAATAAATTTTCTTTGTTAAAATTTTATACTTTAGAATATTCTAACATTGTGTTTATTTATAAATAAGATATTGTATTTATATATTTATATATAGATATTTGTTATTAAATAACTACTGTTAGAATCAATTCAATTTGTATTTTTCTATATTGACTTTACTGTATATTTGATATTACTGTAGATGTATTCAGTTTGCCATTGCATTTATAGTTTAATACATTGAATAGTTTAATATTAAAATTCCTATCATTCCTCTACAAAAAAAATCAGTCAATTTTATCAATAAAAGGTATGTCCACTATTTGGATATATTGTATATACTGGTGTATATATACCACAGACTATTTTTACAATATTGATATTAATAATATAAAAGTAATTTTTCTATATATAATATATATATACTGTAGTACTGTAAACATTGATTTGTTTAGCTATTTTTTTTTTATTATTTTTTGTAAGGTTGAAAAAAACAGTACAAACTATTTTAACTTTTATAAAACTTGTGTATTGTATTGTACAGTGTATTAATTTGATGTGCTTTTTAGACTTAAAATGATAAAAATATAAATAAAAGTTTCAATTTTTCTTTAAATTTTATTTTTTTAAATTTATATTGTATTGTACATGTATATTTTATATACAATAAATTATATATACTATATATTGTTTAGAAATATACCCAATTTAACTAACAAAATAAACGGTAAAATAACTCTACTGTACTATCATATTGTATGTATGTCTGTATAACTGTCTTTCTATCTGTAAGTCCTCTAACTTCATATATTTACTCATAAATCAATTTACAAATCTTTTAGTCTCTCTCTCTCTCTCTCTCTCTCTCTCTCTCTCATTCAAAATAGCAAAGTTTATCCTTATTTTTCAATGGGATTTATAGCACATGTAGTATAACATATATTATACCGTACATCTAAAAAAATACTATACTGTATATACCGGTATACTGTATAAGCATTTAAGTAATGCTGTAATATAATTTTTATCCTAGACTAAACAACATTAGTTTTCAACGACACACACACACAAATAAATAATAAATTTATGAGAAATATTTGTTAGATCAACAACAAAAAATGTTGCTTTAAATTTAGTATACAATCATATATGTTATACTTGTATAATAAATTTAAATTATTTATACAGAATTTTATATCAAACATAAAGTAAATATTGTTTTTTAAAAAAAAGAAAAATAGTAATGAGTATTATGATAATCTTATTTAATTAAAAAAATATATTGTATATTTAAACTAATTTTTATATTTTTGTATTACCAATACTTTACTTTAAAGTAAAATATACAGTAATTTTTGTATTTGTTGATTAAATATTTTTGATTGATGTAAAATTTTATTAGATATAATTTTATTTATTATTAAATTACAAAGTTTAAAATCCAATATAATAAAATTGTTATTCAATTTCGTCAATAAATAATTATAATGCAATAAATTAATATTATACTAATATAATATAATCGAGTTATGAGTTTTCAAAAAAAAATATTTTAATAAATTGATACAATTTTTAAATATAGCCTGTTTCATCAATTTTTATTATAACATATATTTACTGTATTATATGTAAGCATAATAATAAATTTTATAGAATTAATAATTAATAATATCATAATATTCATTTACACAATTCTGTTAAAATATTAATAAATGTTAGCAACAAAAATAAAAGATAAATGCAGTAAAAATTGTCAAATTATTTTTACATATCTATCTTATTTATACAAGTTTTTTTAAATAATATATACTAATAATAA